GGGGTAGCATATATATATATATACAAATGTCTTATATTGTGTGTGTGTAGTCATATCCACCTATAAGCGTAAAATAAGCACCGCAAAAGCTCCGATAAAGTAGCTGCGAAGGTGAAGGCACTTTTACGCGAAAGTTCTCACATTTGGCCGTTCCCTGAGAAGTGCTATTTTGAACAACCACCATCTGTGGATATATGTGCACCTGTAAGTGATGCAGCTTGTCATTTTGGTACTGTGTCTTCCGCCTGCACATGTGTGTCTACTAGTGACAGTGGATATACAGACACCCCACTGGATCGAGTTACATAGGACATTAAGTGCTTAGGCTTTGCAGTGAGTCCAGGATCAGTTCCGTCCAACCGCAGGGCATCACCTACAATGCTACTCGCCTGCAAGCAGCTTGCACTGCGGCCGATTGCTTTGGGCTGTGCAAGTGCACTTTTGTGATCATTTTGTTGTAAGCTGATGTAAACTCAAGCTTCGCTCTGTTCATGTCTTGGGCTGTACCGTATAGACCTACTGGTCTGCTGCAAAACTCTGCTTCTGCACTGGAGATATGCCAGGCAGCTATCACTGCGTGCGAGAAGGCTGGATGTCTCCAGATGGGATGCCAGGCGGTTTCAGGTGACGAGAACGACCGCTTCGTGAGGTCGATGTGCTTCAATTCTCTTGACCCCGAAGCGCAGCAGAATTGCGCGAAAGGCATCTAGATATAATTACTATTATTTGGTACATGCACACCCAGACGCCAGGATGGGCGAGGGCAGCAGACTCTTCAAGGGCACACATGATGTTTCCATTTCCGTGAAGTCGAGTTTATTCAAAGAAACCACACCTCGGAGGGTGGCCAATGGCAGCGAGCTCTGTTGCTACTTGCAGCAGAGGGCAGAGCAGGACACCGGCAGGGTAAATGCAGTTCGATACCTGTAGCAGGTTTTGGAAGTTTCTTGATCCTGCAGTTGTTCGTTTTGGAAGTACGTTGCCGTCATAGAAAGTGTCCAAGTGCCGCATTCTGACAAGTCGGCATGCATGCGCACTCTGCAGCAGCCATGGCCGAGGGCCCGACATCAGCCGACTACCCAAGTCGGAGCAGCCCAGGACTTCAGCGCGACGTCGTCGCGTACAACGCAGCCATCAGCTCGTGTGAGAAGTGCGGTATCCTGTCTGACATGTCCAGAAACCTGTGAGCTTGGACTCGCAGATGCCGCTACGATGCACTTCATGTTTGCACTTCATACGACTTCCGCATGTGAGGCCAATGGCATGTTGCCTTGGCCGTACTGGCGAAGATGCCGCTTGGAAAAGATTGATTAGAGTAGACTGGAACATCCGCACACGGTGCCATCCTGTCCAGCCTCGCCGCTGTAGGCTTCAGAGCAACATTTTGCTACCGCCGCGGTTCCCTCCCCTCCGCCACTGCCTACATGCTGTTCGTACCTGCATGACCGGAAGCATACAAACCAAAATAGTCATGTTAAGTATTGCCTACATGCCGTTCGTACCCACATGACCAAAAGCATGCAAACCGAAATAAGCATGTTAAGTGTTCGTACCTACATGACCGAAAGCATACAAACCGAAATAAGCATGTTAAGTATTGCCTACATGACGTTCGCGCCTACACGACGGAAAGCATACAAGCCGAAATAAGCATGTTAATTAAACATATTGCCTACATGCCGTTCGTACCTACATGACCGAACGCGTTCCGAAATAATCATGTGAAGTCCTTGTTCGTGCTAGGGCGCAAAGAGAAGGGACGAATCACAGCCACCTTCACTTAGCTTTGGTGCTGGAACCTTAAGCCTGCATCATGGTTTTTCTGCAGAGAATGTCCAAACTTATAAAAGCACCGCAATAGCCAGTGGTAATTTCTCCCGTTTGGGCTGGCCCACAACAGTGGTTCAGTTGTGTTTTCCGACGTGTGGTTGTATTTTCCCTCGTTTTGGAGTCGGAGCTGAGACTGCCGGAGCTCGAACCTCCTTCGCCTCAGCTGCCCCCGACACAGTTGGAGCCAGAGCTGAGATTGCCTTGCCTCCGCAGCAGTCGGCAGTGGACACTGCCGCGACGCAGCGAGCCGAAGAGTCTTCATCAGTGGATGCGCTATTACAGCCCCAAGATGCGCGGGTGAACGACATGGGTTCCTGGGAGATTCACACGCCGCCTGCGGCGGCCCTGCTCAAAGAGCAGATGGTGGAAAGGGCCCGGGCCACAAGCTTGCAGTTGCCGTGGGGGATGCAGCACTTCCGTCAGCAGTCGAGAAAGACAAAAGACAACAGACAGCCACCGGCCACCGGGTCCGCGGAAACGAGCAGATGAAGTTTTTGCTCACGAAGCTCCTTGTGATTGCCTCCATGCTAAGCATGAAGGCGTCCGCGATATGAGCCGAATGCAACCAGGGCTTTGGCTTCCACTGCTTGCGAAGGTCTAGGAACTAAACCAGCTTGGCTCCAATGTGCGTGGTCTCCTACTCTAGCTCAGTGAAGCTGCGTCAGGGTTGTCTTCCTGTTTGCAAGCTGTACAGCTTCCTTCTGCAAGCGCACCGTCCTCGCCTCCCAGTTGCTCTGCAAAAAAAGACGATTCCTGCATTGGAAGAGACGTTTCACACAGTGAAACCTAGGCGAGCCTCGATGGTCGCACCGGCGCTCCGGCTGCATTTTCATTAAGTGAAGCTGCAAGCTTAGAGAAGCTGGTTGTAAATTGTAAAGTAGCTTGGACATCCAGGGGCCAGGGCCTACTACCGATGTTCAGTTGCGTCACAAACTGCAGCAGCACAAGGACATTATTACCTACGCAGCAGCAATCAGCGCCTGCGAGAATGCGGAACAGTGGGAGGAGGTGCGAGCTTTGCCTGGAGCAAAACAGTTCCGAAGAATTAACAGTTCTGATCCGGTGGAGAGCTTTTGCAAAAAGGCACTGGTGCTCCTGGGGCAGCTGCATAGCTTTCGGCTCTCAGCGAACCTGATCACGTAATCTGGCTCCAGATTAGAGACTGTCTTGAATGGGACGGGAGCTGTTATGATGCCGGGCTTGCACCCGGACGCCATAGGCGACCGGCGTTCTTCGCGTGGGTTCCTTCATCCTACACCCCGACTTCGACCGATGCCTAGGTACAGCGCAGCCATCAGTGCATGCGAAAAGGGTGCCAAGTGGCAGTCCCTTGATCCCATGATTCAGTCAGACATAGGGCAATGATTACTAATCGTACTGTATTAATCATGATCGTCAGATGAACATCATCATCATCATCATCACCATCGTTATCATCATCGTCATCTTCAACATCACGATCAGACGCCGCCGCCAATCATGCCTTGTCAGCATCCAGTCCACTCATAGTGAGCGGTAATGGCATCAGAAAGTTTCTTTGAGCAAGCAGTGAAAAGAATCCTCGTCATCATGGCAGGTTGTGGAGTATATTCGCCATGTGCTTCCGCCCGTCCCACGGCACAGGATTCCGAAACCTGCCGTTCAGCCAAACGTCTGAGTGGTCTATCCTGTCTCCTCTCTACGAACGGTAGCTGAGGCTGGCCTTGGCACTTTTTCACCAGATGCGCTCACAGCTGCTACTGCCCGACCTGATTGTGTTCAATGCCACCATCCTGTCCTGCGCGAGTGCAGGCTGCGCTGCAGGGACTTCTGCCACTGGTTAGGAATATCGAAAGACTTGAGCCCGCCCCCGTCAGGGCTCTGGCAGCCCACACTGGTCCTTCTCACGGAGCTGCGCCGGCAGATGCTGCCTCCCGGTGTCCAATGCTTCAGCGCAATCACAGGCGACAACGGCGGTTCGAAATGACCAGCATCTTCCCAATGCAACAATCCTCTTTGCAAAAGATTCTGTCAGGTGCTTGTACGAAGGGGCGTCAGATGGCACGTGCCTGTGATGTGGCGCTGGCCGTCGAACAGACCACTCTGCGCCTTCTGCGGGGCGTTCGGGCGCAGAAAAATGGAAAAGCATGCATCGGCCCCAAAGCCTGATTAGGTCTTGGGCCGTCCCACTGCGAGGGTCGCCGCAGGCACACGATCGCAGCAGAAGAGCCTGCTCATGACGTGTATGTTCCGTGCATCAATTTCTGGGTTCACAGCAGGAGGTAGATATCTTTCAAAGTTTCCATTTAGTTATTTCTGCCCGGGCCTCGTTTGCTTGCTAGGCCACTTTTGTACAGCTAAAGCTGGCGTATTTTGCCCTTGCAAAGTCCCTGAACCACTGGTGCTGCAACAGCCGGGGGAGCTCGAGTTTGCTTGAGGTTGCTGGAGGCGCAAAGAGCCGAGTTCTGGACGATGCCGCCGCAGCAAGGAGGCCCACCAGAATGCCGCATGGGAATCCTGGGGAGAATCCTTGTCTGTCGGTGTGTCTTGTCATCAGCATGGAAAATTGCTCTCTGCTAGGAAGTCTTGCAGGTGCTTCTTTTGCTTCCCTCCTTGAGACCCCAAGCCCGAAAGAAAAGCATCAGCCCTGAGACATGGCGATGTTTCATTGGTAAGAGTTATCACAAGCGCACTGCTGCTGCTGCTGCTGCTACTCCTGGATATATCATAATGACATTCCATTACTGTCATAGCCATGACTGTGGTCCTGTGTCCAGTCTCCGGCTCCTACTGCTCCGACTCCGACTCCAACTGAGTTCCTACTGCAACACCAACAACCATTTCCTGCTACGAGTGCCGGCGCAGCGGTCTGCCAACGCCATATCTTACCAGAGAAAGGCATCAAGACGGCTTGATGCCAAGAACTGACCTGGGCAGGCAAGGGCCGCAAGGGCAAGGGTGCCAGAAGCTCAGGGGAGCGGGGTCATGTCGCTTTGCCTGGTTTCCAGTTCCAGTGTGGACTCATGTGGACTCCGTAGTTTGAGCAAGCTGTACAGGGTCGATGGGGTCCATGCTGCGAAGGCAGCAGCACGAGTAGCCACAACCGAGCTGCTTAAGCTGATGATGATGGTGGTGATGCTGGTAGCGGAGGCGTTGGTGGGTGGTGATGGGTGGTAGCGATGGTGGTGGCGGATTGTGACGAGGACGTTGACAGCAAACATGTTGTGGATGATGAAGATGATGGCCACGGGAGTCGTGATGATGTTATTGCTGATGATGACGAGAGGATGATGTTTCTTGGCGAAAAAGAAGCCGTGATCGACATACTGATGCCAAATAAACGGTGACGCCATGTGACGCCGATATCGGTGCGATGCTCGCAACCGATTGCAGGTTTGCACGCTTCACGTGTCAACAGATGCTGTTGAAGTGCTAGTCTCTTCCGGCGGTTTGCGACTTTACGGTGGCTCATATGGAGTCTGCGACTGTGCATGCTTGTGAGTTCACTAAAACCAACATATTCAGCGCTCGAGCATCAACGACTCAACGACTGTCCAATTCTCAACCGACCCTGTAGGAATTCGAAGTAAGCACCAGCGATTCCAAACCCAAGGGCAGCAGTGCCGAGGCTCGGGGAGGGGGAGGGTGGGAGCTCTCGACTGTTCAATGCCTCAGCGCTTCTTTCAGGGCTCGCGTTCTCATTCTTTTACAATTCCATGTCTTGCGTTTGAGGATTGAGGCTGGTGGAACACTAGTGAACTGCTCAGACTGGGAGGACGACCGGATCCAGCTACGGAGGTATTTGGGGATGCCTTCTGACTGACGCTCTTCTGTGGCTCTATGTATTGAAGCCACGAAAGTAAGCTGCCCCAAACGGACTCCCAAGAGTGACCCGTAAATTGTAGAAAGCCGAACCTAGGGCTCGCAACTCTGGGTGTCAGTCTGCCAGGGGAAGCGCTCGGGAGGCGGTAACCGCACGGAGACGAAGGCACGACACGAAGGGCCAAGCCACCGACACGTATATATATATATATACACACACACACACATACAGACGCATGACTAGCTAGAGTTATGTGCATATATTTATATGTTCACATGTAAAACGACAGACAGCGACAGACAGTGACGGACAGAGACAGACAGAGACAGGCAGGCAGGCAGGCAGGCAGACAGACAGACAGAAAACAGACAGACACGCAAGCAGAAAGACAGACCCACGGACAGGCAGACAGACAGACAGACAAAGAGACAGAGAGAGATAGAGATAGAGAGGTAGAGAGGTAGAGAGATAGAGAGATAGAGAGATAGAAGATAGAGAGATAGATAGATAGATAGATAGATAGATAGAGATATATACATAGAAGTAGCACAGTAGTACAGTAGCACAGTACAGTAGTACAGTAGTAGTACATTAGTAGCACAGTAGAAGTACAATGCGAGGGTTTAGGGGTACCTAGAGCTGTGTAGCGGGGTTTGGAGATGACCAAAAGCTCGAAACCAAGCCCCGATCACTCCAAGATAACTAGCACCACTAAAATCCTTTCATTTTGAAGACTTTTCATCTCCCTCCAGCCTACACTCCCCCTCCACAACCGACGAAATCTAAAGCCCGGTACTGTGCAGTTGTTCAGTTGTAGTACAGTAGTAGTACAGTAGTAGTACAGTAATTGTACAGTAGTAATACAGTAGTAGTGCAGTAGTAGTACAGCAGTAATACAGTAGTAGTACAGTAGTACATTAGTAGTACAGTAGTACAGTAGTGGTGTAGTAGTACAATTGCAGTACCGTACTGGAACAGTAGTAGTACGGTATTAGTACAGCAATAGTACAGTATGTTCAGGGTTTGAGGGTTTAGGGTTTAGGGTTAGGGAGAGTTTCGGGCTTCAGGGCCAGGGTTTAAGGGTTGGGAGGGAGGTTTTAGGTCGTGGCTGCTATAAGATTGACCATAACTAGAAGGGGAAAAAACACAACCAACAAAAACTTCGGGCCCAAAAAAACGCGCTATTTAGGCCGGCCATTTTTTGGGTACCCGGCTTGAACAAGGAAAAGAACGTATTAAACAGGCACGTCGAATTATGAGGGCCGGCACATTAGATCAGGATTCGAGTGGACAGACAGATAGGAAGAGAGATAGATCGGCACTTAGATGATGGAAAGGAAGATAGCTGTTTAGATAACTAGTCAGTTAGATAAGTAGTTTTAACGACTAGATACTGAGATGGATAGACAAACAGAGAGATATAAAGACAGATGGATGGATGGATGGATAGACAGATAGATAGAAAGACAGGCGTGAGTACGCATACGTGCATCTCTGCGTGCGCATATACATAGAGAAACGGCATGTGCTTTCCATCTTTTGCATACACAGGCCGTGCATATGCACATGCACATAGGTCAGATGGGTATGTAGGTACGTACGTATGTATGTACGCACGTATGCATGTGGCTATGCATGCATGCATGCATGCCAATGTATGTATGTGTCTAAGTGTTCGAACATGCCAACTATAACATAACGGTTTCCCATAGTGCTACAAGATCGGTGGGTGTATATATGTACGTGCATATGTGTATGCATACATACATGCATGCATGCATGCATGGATGCATACATATATATATATATACACATGCATATATATATATATGTATGTATGTATGTATGTATGTATGTATGTATGCATGTAATATAGGTTTGCATACGGAAAATGTATACTCTATAGATATTCACCTCGTCTGTGACGCTGTGCAGGAAACCGCCAGTCGTAGTGCGGAGGAATCCAATGGCGAGGGCCAGGCGCGAGTTTCACAAGAGATGGTCGGGCCTCGTTTGGATTTTCTTCCGGTGGCGGAGGTGGATGCGTGATTTCGGTTGGTTTGCTTATTGAGTAAGGCTAGACTTTGGGGCAGATTCAGATGATGCGGAAGCAGATGCTCCCGAACTGTTGTGCACGTTTGCTCGGTGTCGCTCTGAAGTATTTGCTGTGGTGATTTGAAGTATTTGAAGTGGTGATTTTCGAAACCTCATTTCAACAACGGCATACGACATTTTATTGCTTGGATGGATGGTTGCAGGGCAGAAGCCAGCGAAGCAGTTGAGCGACGTGACGCGTTCGCAGTGAAGGCTTCAAGATACGTGCCATGGAATATAAACCTTCATGGGGCGATGGATCCTCTACATCTCATGGAGTTGAAAGGTGAGGTGTTCGAAAGTTGCGAGATCTATCCGGATGTCGTCGAGTTCTGTCCATGCGGAGACGAAGCTTGCCTTGCCTGGGGAACGACCCTCGCCTTTCTGGACGATTGCCGAAGACGAGTGTCGAAAACTCGCTAGTTAGTTGAAATGAGAGGCTCTCAAATTTTGTCGGCTGCGGTCCTCCTTAAACGCCTTAAGCCTTACGTGCAAGTTGGGACCGCGCTCGTCCCGGATGTAGAAGCAAGGTTGATATGCTCCGGCTAGCATGACATAGCAGGAAACACTGTCTGCCTTTCGCTATTTCCCACTTTGTCGGGCATCGGTACTGGTCATTGTCTGCAGCAGCTGAGGTATGAGCACGTGGAGGAAACCAATCAGCGCAAGGGAGCGCTTGTTTTTGCAAGCATCGAACAATGTGACCAGTCGCACCAGTGCCTAGTCGCGGGGACTTGAGCAGGGGTTTTCTTGCGTTTGCAGCATTCACACGTGGTGACATCGTCCACACGAAGATATGAAAGCATCCATCGCAGCCTCAGCTCCATAATTTTGTGAGAGCAGTCCGATTCAGGTATTCGCTTCTTCGCACACAGGTTATAGAAAGTCCTGGTGTGTACGACATCGCCTGGGGCCCTGACGGCAGTGTTCTAGCGACTGCTTGCGCGGATGGATGTGTGAGGCTCTGTTCCCAAAGTCGCGGGGTGTTGCACGAGGCTTCCAACGTATCCGAGCAGATATTGACGCACCTTTGTTTTGGAGCTGGTGGAGATGGACTGGCTGCAGTGGGCCAGGATGGTAAATGCTACCATTTGAAGCTGGATGCATCGGGCTTCCAGAAGCTGGCAGAGAAGCAGCAGCACGATCTGGAAGCGTGGTGTGTTGACGTGTCTCCTGCAGAGCCTGATCTGGTTCTGTCTGGTGCAGATGATGGTCATGTAGCCGTTTGGGATGTCAGAGAACCAGACGCGCCTGCCCTTCGCAATCGCCGAAGTCACGAGGCTGGTGTGACGGCTTTGGCTTTCAATCCCTTCAACCCGTTGCAAGTGGCATCTGGCAGTTATGACGAAAGGCTCCGGCTCTTCGATCTGCGAAAGCTGACGGCAGAACCTGTGGCAAAGACAGGTCGACTCGGTGACGGAGCGTACCAAATCGCATGGCATCCTCGGTGGCGCGGCATTCTGGCCGTCGCTGCAATGCGTTGTGGCTTCCCTTTGTTCCGTCTGGATGATGCAGGCTTTGAGTGTCTGACTGCCTACGCCGCAGATGCGCCAGAAGGAACGCATGGCTCATTGGGCTATGGGATTTCCTGGCAATTTGCAGCTTCTTCGGAGACTTCTTTGGCGGCTTCAGCATCGTTCTACGACCGCAGTGTGCACCTGTGGACAGTACGCTCGAAGTATGGCACAGACGAGCCAACTTGATGGTGGACTCATCCGGTATCCTCCCTCTTCGGCCTCGTTACTGTCAACACGCTCCAGGGCAGGGATTCGATACCTTCGACACGGCTGCGGTTAGCAAGCAGGTGCCACAGGAGGAGATCTGTGATGCAGATGCGGGTCCGGTCGAAGACTTGAGGTCACTGCTCTTGTCGGTGGTGAGCAGGATGTGACCATGATCGGACGCGACGGCGAGCACAGTCGAACGATCACACTGTGCGAGTGCAGGCAAAAAGCCTGAAAACGGCTCAATCACTTCCAGTCCTGAGTTGTGAAAGACATCAGCTGCTCACCAGACACGATTGCTCGTGCTTTGCAATCGGAGGCCAGATTCAATGCGCAAGAGACCGCCGATTGGATCTCATCGAGATACCAGGTTCAGCTGAGGGCGGAGCATGACTCATTTGCAGAGAGGCTTCCAATCATGTGCGACAGGCTGTTATGGAAGACTACGAAAAGCAGAAGTCGCTCCGCCCTCGGGTTGCTCCCAAAAACATCAGCTCCACTGGATCCGATAGAGAGCAGGGTCGCTCGGGGAGCAAAGATGTTCTAAACGCATGCACCTCGTGTCCTCGATAGCCTTGAGGTCAGGCAACAAGTCCATTCATCACTTCTCCGACCTGTCGTGCTGACTGAAATTGACATGAAACCTTGGCAGAGTCTGAGCTAAGTGCGGTGATCGCCTTGCCAGGACCCCTGTCAATGCATGGGGAAGTGGAGCCAAGCCAGTGGCTGTCCTCAGAGCCCTTAGGGCCTTAGGCCTTGCGAAGCCTTGCGTCTCCGACTTTTCTGTACCCTTACCCCCTTTTTGCCCTTGCCATGCGGTGAGGTGTTGCCAGGAAAAGAGGACTTTCTGCAGCAGTTACAGGCCGGGGGGTGGCCGGGGAGGACGCGAGCTTTAGAGTTAACAGTTCAAGCATCTTATCCCCATTCCTTCGCAGACGGCTCTCCTCCACTTTCAGCGCGCGCGACAAGGGGAGGACGGCAAAGGCTCCGCTCATCTTGCAGCTGGTAGCGGTTTGCTGTTGGTTGAAGGCTAGTGTGCATGCGAAGCTCGTGGGTAGCTTTAAGCGAGGCTTGCTTTCTTGGATAAGGAATGCTTAGTGCGTGCTTTCAGCCAGGAAGCTAATGCAATTGTGGACGTGTACAACAGTGGCCTGGAGCCTAGTGTGTCCGAAGGTGTCCGGGTGTGAGGTAGAAGTCAGTGTTCTGAGCCCGCAGCAACTATTTCGCGAAAAGAGGTGTCAGTGCGACTAAATATTGATTAGCTGCATGACGTCGTGGCACTGTAGCGTCTTTGTCCAGGGGCTGGAAGCATTCTTGATTGTATGGTAAACACTGAGCCGGATGGTTCTCACAGAAAGGCAGGGAACGTCGAGGCTCCCTCGTCTCAAACGGAGGGACTTCTTTTCGGGAGAGTCGGACGGCGCAGGTCAAATTTGGTAAGTTCTCTGAGAGTGAGCGCTGTGGCGGCTCAGGCAGAAGTGACTCTCTAGAGATGTCGTCCATCATCAGAGTCGCAACCATGCATGGGGAGCCAGCGTGGGAAGAATGACTTCGCCTGAGACATCCTGCAGCCTTCTTGGCACGCTGCAGCCATGTGCCTGGCCGTGGCTTTCTGCAGTTGTTTCTGGAGAGCCCAGTGACATCTTTCAATGACAGCGGGTTGAAAGTACGTCCAAACACGCCAGAACTATTGTAAAGATGCCGGGAGAGCGCCTGCGAAATAGACTTCAGTTTGGACGTGCGATGCTTGGTTCCTCATGCTTGGTTCAAGTGACACTTCGTCTCAGAAAGATGTTTCAAGCACTGCTTTCCATTTTATGCTGCCCCCTCGTAGCGGGGATGTCTGGTGACCTCAATGCCCTTTTGGTCAACGGAAGCAATGGGGTAGAAAAACTCAGGGCTGGAGTCACAAGATGGTCCTTCTCTACCCGTCCGCCGATCCGTCTGAATCTGGATGTCCTTTGGTGGCTGGCTATGAGACGAAAATCTCTTCGATGCAGAAGCAGCGATTCCTCGGGATCACACTTTCAAGAGGTTTTGGGATAGGGCTCCGGGAGCATCGAAGTTGAGCTTCGTAGTGATAAGCTGCCATCCATCATAGCTTGACGATTATCTGAGGCCTTCGCAGCAATTTGGCTCAGTCATGGTGTGCCGTGTAGCAGTCCGAGCGTGCTAGCGTGCTGAAGAGGTGCATGTGGGGCTTGCTTCGGCATAGTGAAGTTGCTGGACTTGTGATACTTGTGGTTGCCGGTTCAGCAGCTCAACCTTCAATTACGCAGTTATTCGGCTGCCGTGTGTAGCAACCGGGGTTACGCTTTCCTGGAATCGGGCAGGAGAGCTCCGAGGTGATTCCAAACTGCTCGACCTGCCTGATTCCTTTATCTAGAACCTGACCGAAGGTGCCGTTTCGTGATGGCTTGAGTCCCTGTATGTTCCTGTCTTCATGAGCAAAGCTCGATTTGTGCGTGTATTCTGCACTGCTTACATCTTCCATCATGAACGGGGCAGACCAGGAATCACAAAGCCAACAGCCCTTACGAATTCGGTGTAGACAATGGCTTCTCTCCTTGGGACGAATCCCCAGCCAGTCGCCACGCTTTGCAACGGCGCAGGTCGACTAAATCGTGGATCCCTTTCGCGCCGACCCCGAGGTGGATACAGTGTGGGCCTTGCAAAGGAGGTCCCTGCGCTGAGGGATAATCGGGTCTGGAATTTTGCAGCAACTTCGAACTGTAGGCCCAGAGGTTTAGTAACTGAGCCCTGAGTCCGACATTGTACTGTCAGAGGCGAGGCAAAAGTCTCGCACCCACCCAGGCTGCCTGACAATTTGAACTCGGTGTTTGCACTTCCACTGCGCCAGCCGGTCCCTCAAAGCTTGAAGGGCAGAGGTCGGTTCTGCAGGAGGTTTGGAAGCTCTCGGTAGTTCTGAGAGGTCATGTCGAGTGGGGTGCCCTACATCGGGAGCAAGATCAGCTTGATTACCACCTCGGATATGCGATACGAAGGGCCTTGCGCTCAGAGAATCTCACTCCTTGTCTCTCCGGGATCACTTGCTGCAAGGAGTTTCACTCGACAGTTTTGTTGCGCTTCTCAAGATTTCTCAATTAACGACAGAAACTCCGACTACTCGTGGATGCCGACCTTGCTGTCCTGGCCCAGTCAAAAGTCTAGGTTTCTTCGGACGCTGAACCGGGAGGAATCAACCATCGCTGTCCAGTGCTCGGTGCCTGCTGCGAGTGCTCAGAGTGGCGGAACTGAAGGGTACTGAGTTCATGCCGAGATCTCTGTGATCTGAGGTAGAAAGCGTCAGATCCTTCGGCACCGAAGGTAGAGCAGACCAGACCAGAGGGCACGGCACTCAGCGGAACCGTCTCACGCCACGTCAATGTCCAAAGCTCAGGCAGTCAGAGATCCCGGTGTCTAACGAAATCTACGACTTCATCGTCTTCCGAGGCAGAAGTCTCGCCTTAGCCGAGAAACTTGCCTTCTGATCTTGCTAGGCAAGGACCTCAAGGATTTGACGGTGCTCCAGGGCATTCCGGAGAATGCGCCGCAGCCGCAGCCGGCACCGGCGACAAGGAGAGCGGAGTGGGACACGAAGCCACGAGCAGTTGGCTGCAAGCCGTTGGCAGGCCGCCAGCGCAAAGTCCTCACATGCAGGGCAGCTACGGTGCCGCCGGCTGTCAACTTGGTAGGATTTTGCCCGCAGAGAGTGGGGGCTGGGTTGTGTTCGGCGGAGGGGGTCGTAGAGGGGTGCCTGCGTTGGAGTTGGGCATGGTCGCGCATGGTCGCTTCTGCCAGGCCAGCATTTGAACAAGAAAAACATCGAGTATGTGCCTGTCCCAGCTTTGGCATGAGTCGCAACATGCGGCTGGGCAAAGAATTGGCACAGCCGCGTCGTCCTAAGGATACGGGCCCCGGCATGTATCATCCCTCGCAGATGGCTCCATCTGGGCCGATGGGCGAAGGCGCCATATTGATTGCGGTCCGATGTGTCATGAGGGTGATTGAGGTTTACATGGTTTCTCAACCCTGGCTGGGAGCCGACGTTTGTTTGGGGAGGCCCCTCGGGTGGATTCGGCTCCAGTTGGCAGCTCAGTGGTCAGTTTTCTTGTCGGCACTATGCTTCCTGCCCAGCTCCTTAAATGAAGAGTGCTTCGTGCTTTGCCGAACGCCAGTCAAGCTCGCAATCATCATGCTGCTCCTTAAACTCAGTTTTGACAACCAGGATCGTCTTCGAAGACCCTCAACCCTAAGCGCTGCATGCCCTAAGCTCTCCCTTGCCCTCAGCCCTGAAAGTATTTTAATCTCTGGCAAAGCGTCTCCCAGGTGGTTACCAGCGGCATTCGCCCCCTGCCGTCTCGAGGCTGCCCCCCGAAAAAGACTCCGGATGGCTGCTGCTCGAAGAGCTCAACCTTAAAATCCGGATGGCATGAAGTCATGAAGTTGTTGGATTAGGAATTCATTGCACCTTGCAGAGCTTTTCCTGTGGTTCGAGTAAGTATCAGGGAGAAGCATCAAGGCCCAAGGTCACGAGCTCGGGGTGCGTACTTGTAACTCCTTACTCAGGCCCTACCTCTATGCTCGAGCCGCGGTCAGGAATGGCTACGGCCCGCCACCTTCCAGCTGTGGTGGTGCAGGTGGATCCAAACACCGGTTTGCCAGGTGTTGGGAGTGAGCTCGTGATCCGTTCTTAAGTTTTGGGGAGTTCGGGGCTCGTGGAGAAAGCCCGGCGCCAGGCGTTGGGCACATGGGCGACAGCCTGGGTGGCAGCACGGAGCTCAGCGTGGAAGCTGGTTGGGGCGGTGTGGGATGGTGCAGACTGGTGCAGGAAAGTCGACAGCTTGTATGGATCAACGCCTCTGACCGAGGCTATTTGAGCAGCACCGGCAGCCGGCCCCCTTCGGAGAAGTCCGGCTATGCACAGGCGGCCCTTAAAAAATTGGGTTTTTGTGTGTCTGTTGGCTGACCAAGCACAGCTTTGCACAGCAAGCAAACCTTCCACAACCTGTGTCCTAGCAGACCTAAAGGGCACTCTGACTGCGAACCCTTTCGCAGGTTCGCATCGAGGCGCCGTCCAGAACGCCGCCTTCGTACCATGATGGGCACGGGAGCTTAGGGCCTGAGTGCAAAGCCGAGGCCAGCACGATGCCTGACAATGCAGCTTATGCAATCCGTGTTCGCTTGCTCGGCTCTTTGACACTCTCCCCCTCTCGCTCTCTCTTTCCCTTTTCCTGTGTGTATGTATATATATATATATACACACCTGTATACAAGCGCGGCATGTATGTATGTATGTATGTATGTATGCATGTATGCATGTATGTATGTATGTATGTATGTATGTATGTGTGTATATATATATATATGATATCATATGCCATATGCCAATATATCTAGATCTATATCTGTATCTGTATCTATATCTCTCTCTACATATATATGTATGCTCGCCCCCATTCCGGATTTCCAGAATTGGCCGCCCCCAAGTTTCCAGAGATTCCAGATTCCAAATTTGCACGCCTTAAGTTGTCCAGTTTCCAGCTTTCCATAAATCTGGAATCTGGAAACCTGGACTCTGTTAACTTTGTTAGTCCTCGCTCGCAACTCTGGAATCTGGAAACTTGGGGCGTGCAAATCTGGAAATCTGGAATCTCTGAAACTTGGGGCATGGAAATCTGGAATCTGGAATCTCTGGAAACTTGGGGTGTGCAAATCTGCAATCTGGAATCTTGAGTCATAAGGCCTGTCAATCTGGAATCTGGAAGCCTGGGGCGTGTAAATGCAAACGTATCAGCCGCGGCCAGAGCGAGCATCATGAACATCAATCGGTCTCGTGTCACGGTCCATGTATGTATGTATGTCTGTATGTATGTATGTATGTATGTATGTATGTTCGTCCCGTTCCACAGGATGCCTATATAATTGTATATAAACTGAACCAAGGGGGGGGAGGGGGGAGGGGGGAGGGGGGGGCCCGCCGGGGCGCAACCATATATACCCTTGAGAATATCTTTTGGAATATCCGAAAGAGACCCTATAGACAAGGATTTATAGAGGAGCAATCAGGAGGAGCCCAAGATCTTGTACCTTATTGAGCAAGGGCTTTCGTTGAACTAAATGAGGAACAAATGACAATAGCCCTCAGAATACCTTACAAAATACCCAAACTACAAACCTTAAAGAAGTGACAACTATAGTACGGTAATACTCTATAGAATACCCCCTATGTACCCTTGTATATACCTTGTTGAATAACCTGTAGCCTATTACACGCCTGTTAGAACACTTTCTAGAATAACAGCTATATACCTTATAGAATACCCCACAATACGATATAGACTATTTTACAGAAAGGCATTTAAATAGTAAAGATTAGGAGGAGCCCAGCAGATCCCCAAGTTGAATTGTGGTTTACTGGGTAAGGGATTCCTTTGAAGGAAATTCGGAATCTAGGATTTAGGAAATCCTTGAACACGTCGAAACTTGTCTAGTGAGGGATACATACAGAGAACAGGATATCTTGTTAAAACACCCCGTATACATGCCCGATAAAATACCTTCTACATGTGAACATGAGTGTCACCGTACCCCACTCATACCACAGTATACAAGCTCAAGATGTGCCCACTCACCTCCCGTCCACTTGCCAGGGACACAGCACGTGGATAGAGAAGCGCGCACGCTGGCAAAGCGCTCTTGAGGGCTACTGCTGACAGACAGCGAACACACAAGCAGGCAAATCACTCACATACAATACCTTGTAGACTAACCTATAGAATACCTTTTAGAATATCTTTTAGAATACTCTATACAATTACCCCCCATATAGGGTCCCTACATATACTTTATAGAATACCGTTTGGAATACTCTGTAGAATACCTTATAGAAGACCGCCTATATATGATACCTTCTGTATACCTTATGCCATATAGAATACCGAATACCTATAGAATACATTTCGGATACCCTTTAGAATCCCGTATATAAAGTATACTATAGATAGGGGTTAAATATGGAAAACCAGTCGGAGCCCAAGATCTGAGAAGTCCCAGTTGAATTGTAGCTTTTGGGTGTAGGATTCTTATGAAGAAAATCAGGAATCAAGAAGAATAGCCTTGCAACTACCTTATACAATGCCCCTTTGATACACCTTGAAGAATTTAATTTAGAATACCTTGTAAAATACCTTCCTAGAGAAAGGCTGCAGACTACCAGTTGTACAATACCTTATGGAGCACCCTGCAGATTACCTTGCAGAATGCCCTTTAGAATACCACGTGGAATACCCTGTAGGTAATATACCTTCTGTAAACCTTAAATATACCTCATAAAATCTCCTCTAGAATACCTTTCCGGATACCCTCTAGAATACCTCATAAAAAACCTTATAGCATACCATATAGATAACGATATAGATAACGATTTAAATAAGGAAAATCAGGAGGAGCTTGCCGTTTAATAGCGTAGGTTCGCAACCGAAATACAATGCGAAAAACACGAGGTTTGAATACCGCAGCAAGTCACATGCAATACCTTCCAACAGTTTCGGCTTTCCCATACATGAAGTGTTGTTTTTGTCGGCCGAAAATCGGTTGCAGATTTATCGATGTATCGAAAAAAGATGCGTAGCAGCACCGTGGTATGTATTCGAGGAGAAAGGCGATTGTATCGATAGTACCGGTGGTTTCGGTATGTGCTATTCCTTAGCAACATGGCTGGGAATATACTTCAAGTCGTAAAGTATACTTCGAGTCATGGGTACATGTTGGCAGACACTGTCGAGCTTGACGCAAACTTTAGATGCCTCTACATCTATAGCATACGTTTCCAGTCTGAGTTAATCAGAATGAGTCCAAGGCCGCATGGGCCGCCGCCTTCTTATGTCGAGCGGCCTGCACCCTCTCAGTACGAGGTGGGCTTATTGCATGTGCATATTTGTGTGTCTACACACTCGAACATGTTTGGGAATACGTACACACATACCTACATGCATGCATACATGCGTACATACATACATGCATACATACATACATACATACATGCATGCATGCATGCATATATACATACACACATTCACACATACGTGGCTCACATTGGTAGTTATGTTTAGGTGTGTGTATTCATGTTTTATGTGTGCAGACATACAAAGATACAGTATAGGTGCACTTATGCACAGATACAGCTATACATACTGCTTTGATGAAGTCCGACTGTGTATAGCTGCTCCTTTCAGTACTGAGAGCTGTAGCTGCTTCAGCCTACCAGTGGTTGCAGAAGTCTCCATGCCGCTGGTGTTGAACTACCTCGGTTGTCTGAGTCACCTGGGTGAAGATGCACTTCCAGAAGAGGTCGAGGCGGCTCGCTGTCGAGACTACTTGAAGGGCTTGATGCAGGAACGCGGGCTTGTTGCCCACAGTCCTGAGTCCAATCGGATGCAGTGTGAAAGCAAGGACGCACCTTCAGATGCTCCAAAGGTCTC